AGAACTGAAAGCAGGATCTCAAAGTTACTTGTACACCCATGTCCACCATAGCATTATTCACCAAAGCCAAAAAGTAAAAGCAATCCAAATACTCACTTGGATAAATATAAATTTGGATAAAGGCAAAAGCAACCCAAGTATAAATCTGTATAAAGAAAATGTTGGTATACACATATAATTTACAATAGATGTACACTGCCAAGGAGTTAAAGGGGAAAGAGGAGTTGTTTAAATGGGTATAGAGTCTCAGTTTTGCAAAACAAAAAGGTTTTGAAGACTGGCTGTGTAAGAATCTGAATTATACGTAAAACTACTAAGTTGACTGGGCATAGTCACACATGCATGTAGTCCCAGTATTTGGGAGGGTGAGGCAAGTTCCAGGGCAGTGAAACTCTGTCTCAAAAAACAAAAGCAAAAAAAAAAGTTACTAAATTGTACCCTTAAAGATGCTTGAAGTGGTATATTTTATATATATTTTACCATAATTAAAGATAATAAAAATAAAGATATTTTTATTTTATAATTAAATTTTATAATTAAATATATTTTATTTTAAAAATAATTAAAGATAATAAAAATAGTATTTAAAAATTACATACATAAACAAGCATGAGTATTTAGAAAAGGTGATGTTATTTTAAACAGCAGATACATAAACTAGTTTCAGAAATACACTTAAGTAGCCAGCAGTCATATGGTAGTACAAAACTGAAAATCAGAAGTGAGTATGAGGCTTGCTTTTTCTCTGAATGCCCCTGTGTGGCTTGTAACTAGATGTTGACCAAAGCCTCATGCAGTCATGGATGGGACTTTTCAGAGGGGGCTGTATCTAGGGTGTGTGATGCTGGGATCAAGGATGAGATGCTGGGACTGATTCACAGTGGAAAGCTAGGATTGAGGGTATGACTGCTACACATCCCTAGGGATAAAATATACGAGAAAGCGTGCTGCTGTGGCCATTGCTTGTTGCTCGTCACTTGCTGCTTGCTGTTTCTGTGGGCTTTTGCCTACCAGGAATTATTTCTTATCTGTGATGCCCCACTGCAATGCCACCCTACCTTGGAACCAGCCAACTATGGACTGAAACTTCTACAAACTAAGCTGAAATAAACCCTCCCTTCTTTAACTTTGGGTGGCAGGTATCTTGTCTCAGCAATGAGAAAAGTAACTAAGATACCTTCTATTATGTCAATTTATTACTTTTCTTTACAATTAATGAAATAAGCAAAAGTGAAAGAAAAACTTCAGAGCTTCAAATCCTGATGATTTTACAACTGATGTCTAATTAGATAATTTCTACTGTTTAAATTATTTCAGCCTTAGCCAGGTGTGGTGGCACTGGCCTGTAACCTCAGCACTTGGGAGGCTAAAGCAGGAGGATTTCCGTGAGAGTTCAAGGCCACCCTGGACTATATAGTAGTTCAAGGTCAGCCTGAACTACATAGGGAGATGCTCTAAAAAATCAATCAATCAATCAATCAATCAATCATTCATTCACTCATTCCAGGCCATAAAAATAATGAAACACCCAAATTCTGATTAATTTAGCACAAATAAGTGTTAGAATAATTATTTTCAACAGTAAAAAGTCATTATATAAAATACACATTTTCTGAGAACCAGAATGAAGCAACAGAAGGAAATGTTTTATTAAGTATATAGTGTTATGGTGGTATCAAAACTATTCTCCAGCTGGGCGTGGAGGCACATGCCTATAATCCCAGCACTCAGGAGGCTGAGGCAGGAGGATCATTGTGAGTTCGAAACCAGCCTGGGCTACAAAGTGAGCTCAGAGCCAGCCTGAGCTGCACAGCAAGACCCTATCTCAAAAAGACCAAAAAGAAAAAGAAAAAGAAAAAAAATATATATATATATATACACACATATATTCTCCAAAAAGTCTGTGTTGAAAGTTTGGCTGCTGATCAGCTTTTGGGAAGTTACTGCATAATAAGGGTCTGATGTCGTAATTTCACGGCATTATTAGGAAGTACATACACAGAAGCTGAGGCCTTCTGAAAGAGGAGTGAGTTATGAAGGCATGACCTTGGCCACTACTTCTGATCCCAGACCCTTCCTCTCTGGTTCTCTCACCTTCTGTTACCTGGTTGCCACAAGAGGAGTAGCACATACGTGCACAAAAAATTCTGAGAAAGAGTCATCACAGACCCACAGTGAAACTCATGACCTCTGCTAACTCCCACTCCTGGAATTAACTGACTGGTTCTCTGTCTCTAAATTTTGTTTTCTCCAGAAATTCTTTTAAAAGAAACTGTATAGGGCTGGGTTGTAGCTTAGTGCTAGAACACATGCTTAACATCTACAAGGCCACGAGTTCAATCTCTAGTACAACAACAAAAAAAAAATTAAAAAGAAATCATACCTAAGATAAAAAAAAAAAAAAAAAAATGCGGTAAAAAAAAAAAAAAAAAAAACTATGCGGTATGTCTTGAGTCTGTCTTCCTTTACTTTTTTTTTTGGAGGGGGGGTTTTCTCCAGTACCGGGAACCGAACTCACGACCTTGCGTTTGCCAGGCAGGCGCTTTGCCGCTGAGCTAAATCCCCAGCCCCTGTCTTCCTTTACTTAACATAGTGTTTTCTGGAGATTTATCACACTGTTGACTCAGTAGTTACTTTTAATTAAAGAACAGTAAGTAGTCCATTAGTTTCCATTATCTCAGTATACCACAGTTAGTTAATTGAGCTGATGGACATTGAATCTGTCTTCGAATTTAGGCTATTATGAATAAAGCTATGATAGGCATTGGAGTACTTTTTTTTTTTTTTTGGTACAGGAATCTAACTCACGACCTTGCGCTAGCTAGGCAGGCGCTGTGCTGCTGAGCTACATCCCCAGCTCTGAAGTATAAATTTTTGAATGAAGAAATATATGTCTTTGTGTGATTATTTCCATATTACAAGTATATACATAATCTTCATTTTCTTTATGAATGTAAATTTTAACATTTGTATCTGTGTAGTTACATACACGAAAATAAACGCTGACATATGTATGTAGTTTTTTTCTAGTTCCTAATCATTGTGCGCTTGCAAGTTTTTCAGTTTTACTTGAGGTATGATTGACAAATAAAAACTGTATGTATTTAATGAGTGCAACATGATATTAGGATATACATGTACACTGTGAAATGATCAAGTTAATCAACATACCCATCACTTCACATAGTTTACGAGGAGTCTTTTCTGTTTTGTTTTATTTTTGAGACAGGGTCTTGCTATGCAGCTCAGCCTGGCCTTGAGCTCATTAAGTACCCCAGGCTGGCCTCAAACTCACAGCACTCCTACTGCCTGAGCCTGCCCAGTGCTGGGATTACAGGTGTGGGTCACCATGGCCGGCTAGTTTATATTTTTGATGGGAGGGGGAAGAGCTGAGAACACTCGTCTGTCTCACCTTTATCAGTTCTGGAATTAAATAGAGATAACTGCACGACTTTGTGGATATACTAAAAATCAGCAAACTGTATGCATTAAAGGGGTGAATTTATAGTACATGAATTATACTTTAATAAAGTGAATAAAATCTTGGGAGAGGAAAGCTCTGACCAAAAAGCTAGGGGATAAGAAACAAGACTGGATTTCCTACATGCACATTTTAAATATCTAAAGAGCAAAAAGAATCCATAAAGTTTAAAGACAGAAACCAAATAAGAATATACCTCTTCTATAAATCAATAAAGACAAACCAATGGAAAAGCAAATAAATCACTGAAGATATACAAATGACTGATAAACATTTAGAAAGATGTAGCTGAAATTATAATATAAATTTACTTGAGCATTACTGAATTTATAATAGTCTTTAAAATGATTTCCATTTTCCCAGTAAATAGAAACAAACCAACCAAATCTGCTACTTTGAAGGAATTCCAACAATCTAACATGAAAAAACGGTGTCCTCAAAAGTAGGGATATAGGGGCTGGGGATTTAGCTCAGTGGCAAAAGCGCCTGCCTGGCAAGCGCAAGGTCGTGAGTTTGGTTCCCAGTACCGGAGAAAAACCAAAAAAACAAACAAACAAACAAAAAAAAGTAGGGATATATTCCTAAGGGGAATACCAGAGAATAACAGACTCTCAAGAATTACCTTAACCATTTATTTGCCGTTCAATCATAAATTCCCTACCCAATATTTCTAAAAGGTCCTAAATCATCCCACTGACTTTGAACATCTCCATCTATGACCAAGTATTGCAGAGTGCATCTCATCTTTAGTCAGCTAAGGATATTTCTTCCAAAGTGGCAAATAAAAAAGGTAGAGTAAAACTGATAGTAAACTTCCAATAAAACTGTAAGATTAATATCAGCTCTTCTTTTTTAAAAATGTGTAATATCCTCTTAGAATTACCAGTTGTTATGGCACCAATTTCAGTATAGATAGTGTATGTGGTAGCTTACCTTCTTAATAAAATTCTATGAAAATTGTTGTAAAAAATCCCTTGGGGCTGGGGATTTAGCTCAGCGGGGGGCTGGGGATTTAGCTCAGCGGCAAAGCGCCTGCCTGGCAAGCACAAGGTCGTGAGTTCGGTTCCCGGTACCGGAGAAAAAGCCAAAAAAAAAACAAAAAAAAACAAAAAAAACCAAAAAACCCTTAAAATGGGTTACTAGATCATTTCAGTAGCATCAAGTGAATACACACCTAAATACATTCAAATAACACACTTATAAAAGTGACAGCATCTAGCAGGGCAATCCTTGAAGTGATTAGTAATAAAACTTCATTAACAGAACTACCACTTAGTCTTCAGTGGTAAAATAAAGACACTAAGAGACTGTTTTAAATTTTTAGTCATTGCACCCCTCCTCAAAAAAAAAATTATGTACATCTCTGCTAAGACGAGCAAATGAGGAGACCTAAGATTATAACTGAAATGAGCCCCTAAAATAATCTGCTTAAAGAATGATAAGCATAAAGTAATACACACCTTGAGTAAAACAAACTTTCATATCTGGACATAATGGAAATTAATTCTGCCCTGCTTACCTTATTTATGTTGTTTTCATCAACCACGTCCTTAGATATGTCCTGGATTATTTCTGGACACAAAATAAGGAGAATGATTTGCAATGGCCAAACTGCTGCTTTCCGTTTGGTGCTTTCAGCAAAGCCATCCACCAAGTCAAACAGCTTTTCTGCACATTCTATGTGAAAAATACAAATATTAAATGACATTATTAGATGAGAAGAAAATCTCTGACATTAAATTAAAAGGCAGCACTATCCAAAAACCCGAAGACCACATTTCTAAGAAAAAAAATTTGGAAGTTCAGCTAAACAATTATACAATTTCATTTAGTTAAGCAAACAAGCAATGTTACATTGTCTATGTGTCAAGAGAGCTATCTTAATCAATGGAAAAGCAAGCATTTTAGAATGGCTGGTCTTGTGTTTTGTCTCAATATGAAGGTTCCTTGTGCAAAATGTAATGCAGTAGAGCAATAAAGACTAATTTGTGGCCAGGCAGGAGGCGCACGCCTGTAATCCCAGGACTTGGGAGGCTGAGGCAGGAGGATCGTTGTGAGTTTGAGACCAGCCTGGGCTACAAAGTGAGCTCAAGGCCAGTCTGAACTGCAGAGTGAGACCCTGTCTCAAAAAGACTAATTTGCTTTCCAAAGAGATTATCAAAATTCCCCAAGTCTGTATTCTCCACCATTCAGCTATGTTCCCAATATTTTTACCTCTCAGGCAAAAAAAAATTACTGCTTTAAACATATCTCACCAAATATAAAGTCTTAGAACAAAAAGAAAGGTAGTTCTCTCTAACAGAGAGCCATGAAACATCCCAATTATAACTCTAAAGATTAGAGTTCATTTCAAACTTCCTTATTTGCTCAAAGGAAAAAGGGATGGGGGCAATTTAAAAATATGACAGAAAAACATTATTTCCCGTTCGATCTCAGACAACAGAGTATGTAAAAGCACTTGTATTTTAAAAAGTAACTTGGAAAAACTGGTTTTAACCTTGTAAGTAAGACTTCAAAATACAATTATTTAAAAATCTTTCTTACCAGCCATATCAGTCTGTGGAATCTGGTATAGCTTTGTAAATTCATCTGGATAATTTTCTACCCAGTTCCAAAAGGCCTGCAGAAAACAAAACATACGTCTTTGTTGAAAGTAGTAAGCTTTTAATATAGTAAAGTCCCAACTTCTGATTTCCCTCATAAAAATATTGTGATGCATTCTTCCTAAAAGTTAATGTAAAACTATCACTCAGTCATGATTTTTACTCAAATGTTAAAGACAGCAAAATTTATAACCAAAATTTTAATATCAAAGAGGATAATCTTACCTTCTCCAGGCTATTTATAACTGCTAACTGTGCAACCTTCTTTAGGGCTTTAAATTTAAATGCTATTTCTGGGGAGAAAAAAATTTGTTTCAATTAACTTTAGTTATTTAATGAATACAAATACAAACCAAAGCTGGTAGCAAAAATAACTTTTCTTTTTCATACTACTTTTGTTCCAGTATTATTTATAGGCAATGTAAATGTAAAGACAATTAATATAAACCCAAAATTCATTAGTTATATCCACAAAAGACAAAATAAAAAGCTCATGTGTCTTGAACTTCAAAAGCTGTAAATTTTTTCCTTTGTTTTACTTTTCATAAAAATTTGCTGTTTAATAAAAAAAGGTACAGAGCTGGGGATGTAGCTCAGTGGCACAAGCACCTACCTGGCAAGTGCAAGGTCCTGAGTTTGATTCCAGTATCAAAAAAAAAAAAAAAGTATAAAATATGGTCACTGTGAGGCCAGATGTGGTGGTACACACCTGTAATCCCAGCACTCAGGCTAAGGCAGGACTGCTGTGTGTTCAAAGCCAGCTTGGGCTACAAAGTGAGTTCAAGGCCATCCTGAACTGCATAGTGAAACCCTGTCTCAAAAAAAAAAACAGTCACTGTGGAAAATTTTAAACATACAAGCCAGGCGTGGTGGTGTGTGCCTATTATCCCAGCACTCTCGAATGAGGCAGAAGGACCCCAAGTTCCAGTCCAACCCAGTTAACTCAGCAAGACCCCATCTCAAAATAAAACTTAAAAATGGGCTGGGGATGTGGCTCAGTGAGAAGGTCCTGGGTTCAATCCATAGTACCAAAATCAAACAAACAAAAACAGCCCAAGGGAAAATTAAAGTATCATCATGATTCTACCATACAGAGACAACCAGTCAACAGTTTGGTAAATATTACTCTATCCCTTTTCCTATGTATGTATGAAGCAAAAACATTTAACACAATCAGATCAGATCGGCCCTACCAAATCTATCCTTTACACTTTGCACAATATCCCTAATTTTTTTCCAGAAAATTCTCATATGTGTTCTTTGATGACTCTTTATACAACAGTAAGTTTTACTGCTCTTTTCAGTACTAGAATGATATAGTTAATACTTTCAAAATGTTAATGCTTTCAAACTATTACAGATAAGTAAACTTTGTGTCTACAGTTACAAATCAACTACATGACTGAATTAAACTTCAAAGCCACAGTCTTTCCAGTATGCTTTGATCTTTCTCAGAATATTTAAGTCACTGAATTAAATCACAGGTTATTAAAAATTTCTAGTTCTGTATTTATTTTCAACATTTCACTATTATGAATAACAATAAGTACTTTATATACCGAAGTTTTTTGATACCGTTTAAGGTAAGAAAACACCTGAAAGTGAAAGAGTCTGGTCAAAGAGATGAGTATTTTTAAGGCTGCCAAATTGCTTTTCAGAAGAGTTGGGCCAAATGTCATTCCCACTTACTTACTAACTTCAGGGTGGGGTTATACCTAAGTGGTGGAGCACTTGTCTAGCATACCCAAGATCCTGAATTCAACCTAGTACCATGAAAAAATAAAATAAAATATTGCAAATTTTAACTATGAATTGAATGGTTGCACATTACAACCTAAATTAACTGTGATGCACATACATATAGCTTGTCCTAATATCTAAAGTGATTTTTTTTTGCTTTAATAAAGTTACTGAAAATTGATTAAACTTTTACTTGATTTTTACAACAGTAATATCCTTAAGTAATAAATTCATTTTTGGCAGTGCTGGGGATCAAACCCAGGGTCTTATACACAGTGGGTGAGCACGCTACCGCTGAACTAAATTAACAGCCACAGATCAAAAATCTGAACAAGGGTAATATACATGGAACACAGCCTTATATTATTCATCTATACAGATGATCCTTTTTTGTTTATGTCTGGTGAATTGTTGGAGTTTAAGGTCAATGTTAAGAAAACAAAACTATGTATTTTGAAAACTGTATTATACTATACAACTGTTGACATTTTCAAAGCTAATATAATCCATCTCCTCTTGGGTCAGACATTAAGAACACTGAAAGTATCTTGATGAAGACACAAAGTAAAATTAAAGTGTGAACAATACACTATAATGTTATACATTTAATTAACCAGGGTACAATAATATATAAAACAGAAAAATATTTTTATGACATGAGATTTATGGATTCATACTCATGAATAATGTTCACTGATATTTCATTATATTAAATCAAATAAAATAACAGTAATTCTCTGCTCATTCAATTCAATTTCTTTTGACAGTTTATTCCAATTGACATAATCATGTAAAACACTTCTGAAAACTTTAAAATCACATCTTAGAAGTTGTTCCCACCTGGGACTACTGACATGTTCTATAGCGCAGCAAAACTAGACAATGAAAGGTTAAGATACCGTGTTTTATAATGCTATAAAACTAGTCAGTAAGAGAGATGAAAACAGTAATGTCAGAAGTAAGACACCTGGCTCAATTTCTCTTCTCACCCTACAATCACAGTCTGATATATTCTGCACTGAAACTCTGATAATCTGCTAAAGACTATCTGATTTAAGCACTACAATAGCTAAACAGATTATTCTATAACCTACAGCCAGACCTAAGAGTTCAAATTCCATATATGAATCCTCAAGCTTCTGCGTCTCCCTTATTTCACTTAACATTATGGTTTCAAGGTGCATTCATTTTCCTACAAATGACTCAAGTTTATCCTTATTTATGGCAAAGTAGTAAGTTTACAGCATTACAAAATACAGTATCTTAACCTTTTAGTGCCTAGAATAAAGACATTGTCTTTACCATTCATTTGTTGATTTAACTACTATGAGTTGTGCTGTTATAAACATGGTAGGCATGTATCACTATAATGTAAAGTCTTTAACTCTTTCAAGAAACCTAAAAGGGGAATATCTGGGTCAAATGGAGTTTCTATTTTGAATTTTTTGAAGAATCTCCATATGGATTTCCACTGTGGTTGTACTAGTTTACATTCCCACCAACAATGTAGAAGTTTTCCCCCCACAACCTCACCAACATTTATTATTTGATTTCTTGATGATTCTATTGTATTATTTTGAAAGGTTCGAAAGTTAGTGAATCATATGTATTACTGGCCATTTCACAAGAACATTTACATTATAAAATTCACTTTGATGCTCGAGTTCAAGACAATTAATACTGAGTTATGGCCCACAGTGATTAATTTCAGATGTATCATACATTTAAACTTACCCTTCAGGAGTCGTTTTAATTTTGCACAATCCACATTGATATACTGTAGTAACTCTATATCATGGACATCAACATTGTCTTCTGAACAAACAGTCAATTCCTGTAACCTGAAAAGTAAAAACAAAAAAATAATTTATCAATTTAAGTACTGAGATATTCTAAAATTCTAAATTCTAAAATTCTAAATTCAACAGATTCTTCCCACAAGAATCAGTTTATAAGACAAAACACATATAAGAGAATAAATATTTCTTATAAAAATCTAAAGGACCTCAAGTTTGGGATCCTTTTTCATCAGCCTCCCAAGAAGCTGGGATTATGGACATGTACTTTTGCACTCAGTTTTACTTTGTTTATTTTGTGGACACCAAACAGAACTCACCCAGGGTCTTGCTCATGGTCAGCAAGTGCTCTACTATTAAGCTACATCTCCAGGCCCCAGATTTATCTGTGTGTGTGTGTGTGTGTGTGTGTGTGTGTGTGTGTGTGTGTTTTAGTTTTTATTTAAGTACTGCTGAAAATATTGATGGGCTCATAAGCCAAGATAAACTAGTAAACTTTGTAACCCTATCTTTAACATTGAGGAAGCTAGAAGTGGTGGTACACACTAATCCCAGCACTTGGGAGGCTGAGGTAAGGAGGATAGCCATGAATTCGAGGCTAGCCTGGGTTACTTAATGAGTTCAAGGCCAGCTTGAACTACATCATGAGACCCTGTCTCAAAAAACCAGAAAGACTGAGGTGTCCCAATTATATTTCCCACAGTCAGCCAGGGACAAGAAAATCAGTTAATTCCAGAATTGGGGCAGCAGATGAGACTAGATCATCTTGAGTTTGAACACAAGGAAATTACCAACAATTGGCAGAGAGTAATGTCAAAAATTACACATGTGTGCACTTAAACTCTGAAAGGTCAAAAATGAGGTAATTTGAGCATCAGAAAAATTATACCTACACTAGGCATGATGGTCCATTCCTATAACTGAAACACTTAGAAGACCAAGGCAGGAGGCTAACCTCAAGATCAAGGCTAGCTTGGGCTACATATGCATTCAAGGCCAGCTGGACTATATAGTGAGACCCTGTCTCAAAATACAAACGAACGAACAACCCCCCCAAAAAAAGAATTATATTTACAATTTAAACACAAAATAAGTAAAAATCCACGTATTAGAACTGAGGGGGGAAAAGACTCATAGGTAACCTTTCACAGCTACTGGATACCAACTCATTCTGAGAATGAATAATGAGAAAAAGTCAAGCCTCTATCCTGAACTCTCTCCACAGACTGTATTAGAAAGTAAACATACAAATAATTCTTTTACAAGAATCACAACTCATTGCCTAAGGCCCTGGGTTCAAGCTCTAGCACTACCAAAATAATAATTTTAAAATACAGGATACAAAATGTATCGTTTTGTAGCCCCCAATGACATAATGAATTCAATGATCATCAGGAGATATTAAAAACATTAAAAATTTAAAGGGAACTTTATAATAAACAGACAATGCTGAAAACATCTAAATTCATCAATAAGTACACTAAAAGTAAGATAACAGGACACGTTTCTTGATGTGATGCATTAGGAACTACTTATACCATCTATAAAGTACCTTGTTCCCCAGCTAAGAATCCAGGAATCTGAATCCACTCAAACTCAGTCTAACATAGTACACAGAAAACTTTACAAATAACCCAATTAACAAACACTGTATACACCACAAAAAACATGAAGAAAGGAGAGAAATGAAGAATCTATACAGGTTAGGAGAAATTTAAGAGAAACATCAGCCAACTTCTAGCTATAGATATTGTTTATATCCTGATTTGAAACATTTTTTGAGAGGAGGAAAAATTAAAAACTTGGGAGTAACATGATATTAAGGAGTTCTATATGATTTTTACTAGCTGTAACAATGATACTGTAGTTAAATTTTCTTAAATCTATTACAGATACATACTGGATTTATTTATTTATTCTTTATTTTGAAAGCGGATTTCGCTCTGCAGTTCAGCCTGGCTTCAAACTTGCAGATTCTCTTGTCTCAGCCTCCCAAGTGCTGGGATTACAGGTGCCACCACACCTGGCTGAGCTTGGTTAAAAGTACTAAAAATGGAGCTGAGAGAAATAAAAAATTATAGAGTACCAGTAACAGCTGGAACAGAGTAAGAGATGCACAGGTATTTGAAATGCTATTTTTTTCAGTGTTTTTAAGTTTTCCACAATGAAATGCTGTTTTAAGTCCACAATGAAATGATGTTTTTAAGTTTTCCACAAGGAAGATTTAAAAATTTATATTTCAAATTAAAAGTAAAATAAACCTTAATTTTATTAACTTCTGCCGGGCATGGTGGTGCACACCTATAATCCCAGCATTCTGAAGGCTGAGGCAGGAGGACTGCTGCGAGTTCAAGACCTGGGCTACAAAGTGAGCTCAAGGCCAGCCTGAACTGCATAGGGTAACCCTGTCTCAAAAAAGACAAAAAATAAAGAAATAAAAAAATAAAAAATAATTTTTATTAACTTCTATATACACTGAATAACTTTAAAAACATGCATATTTTGTCTACAGTCACAAGATACATTTACTTTGCATTCAAAACCTGAGTAAGGTTTTTCTCACTGTACTTTTTCCAGTCTGTACATGTGCTTATATGATTATTTAAGTAACATCCTTCCTTCACAGAATGTAAGCATATAAAGACAGAAATCTTTTTAAATCCAAAACTTCCATTCTGTTGAATATGAAGTTATTACCAATGTAGAAAAATTTAACACTTAACAATTATGTAGATATTTTTCAACTGACAAAATTCCTGTAGCCAGATGAGGCAGTGTATGTTTGTAATACCATCTGCTCAGGAAGATCTCAAATTTGAGGCCATCCCAGGCAACATGGCAACCTCTTATCCCTAAAGAAAATAAAAAGAGGTGTGGGCATACCTCGGTAGGAGGACACTTGCCTAGCATGTGCAAGGCCTCCCATTCAAGACCCAGTACTGAAAAAAGAAATCCCCTCAGACTAAATAGAAAGGAGTGAACTTCTTTTACCATTTTTCCCTAGCAATCACAGGGTTAGATCTTCAAAAACTGGTATCACTCACCTATTAAATGTTACTACTTACAAAGGCACCCTCATTATTTCCATTAACAGACATCAAAAATGTAAGGACAATGGAGTTACTAATTTTTTTAAATGCAAAAGGAGAGACACACAAATATTACATTGTCTTATTCATAACTTATATTTTAACTATTTTATTGCAGTTTAAAACTTACTTATTTATCATCACACTAAACCTTTAGTCAACAAATGAAATCAAATTCTTCCTTCTCAGGTTGTTCCTTCACTCACTTTAACTTATGTTAGTCTAACTAACATGAAAATTATTCTAAGCAAGTACACTAAAGTATTTTACCAGGGTAAGAAAAACTTTGCAATTCAAACCGGGAAGGAGAAGGTCCCCAATACTTAATTACATGCTAAAAATTCCACAGTTGCTACAAAAGAACCTGAAAATATGCAGCATAACTCCTTAGGAAACACAGCATTAGAGACCAGCAACACTACTTTTGAAAAGTGACTGTTATTTGTGAACTCCTCTAACAGTTCAGTTATTGCTATAAGGTAGCACATTTTCTGATGTTTAAACTGTATTTCTAGGCATGCATACTACCACTGAGCTGTACCCCCAGCCCTAAACAGCATTTCTGAAGCCTGAAAATCGAATCAAATCAAATCAAGAGTAGTCAGAGCAAAAGAAATACAGAAAACCTATCACTGAAATATCCAAAAAGGTAAGAATTGCTGGATGTGCTGGTGCACTTGGGAGGCTGAGGCAGGAGGATTACTGTTTGAAGCCAGCCTAGGCTACACAAGTGAGTTCAAGACCAGCCTGAACTACAGGGTAAGACCTTGTCTCAAAAAATAAATAAATAAGTAATTTTTTAAAAGGCAAGAATATAAAGCTTTCTATCCTAATAAAGCACGGGTTAGAATTGGCACCTTACATAAAACATGAACTAGAAAGCACTACACATTCTTTCATTAAAAAAAAAAAAAAAAAAAACCTATCAGTATCCACCTTATGCCTAGAGTTAAGTAAGCATCTAGTTAAAGCAAACGCAAACCTATCACAACACCCTCAAAGTCCAGGGCTAAAAGATTACCAAAGAAAATACAGACCTCACTAAAGATGAGTTTGCAAAGATTGCAAAGAGAAAGACAGACAAGTTGGAGCATGCTTCCATCCTGGCTACACCAAAGCGTGAGGCAGAAGGATGGTAAGTTCCTGGCCTATATAAGCAACTTAGCGAGAGCTTGTCACAAACTAAAATTTAAAAAGGAAGCCACGTGTGGCGGAGCATGCCTGTAATCCCAGCACTCAGGCAGCTGAGGCAGGAGGATCGTTGGGAATTTAAGACTGGCCTGGGTTGCAAAGTGAGCTCAAGGCCAGCCTGAACTGCATAGCAAGACCCTACCTCTAAAAGGCAAAAAATAGTGATAATAATAAAATAAAATAAAATTTAAAAAGGGGTGGGGATATAGTTCAGTAGTTAAAAAGCCCCTGGGTTTGATCCCTAGTACCACAAAAAAAAAAAAAGAAAAAAAGGATTACAGAAATAATTCACTGTGAAAGCACAGACAAACATGTAATCTCGTAATGTTAAAGAAAAGACTAAGTGTTTTAGATGACTGGAGAAGAACCTGAAAACTATTTGGAATAATTAAAACCACTTTTAAAAAAGCAGATCTGTAAAGAACCAAGTAACTTTTAAATTCCTAGTGGCATATCAAATTAGATATGTATTCTAAAGGGTATTCCCACAACAAAATAATGACACCTAGTAGTTATATAATAATTCTATGGCCAACAAAAAACAAAAACAAAAACCAGCAGGGCTTGGTGGTGCATGCCTGTAATCCCAGCACTCGGGAGGCTGAGGCAGGAGGATCGTTCCAAGTTTGAGACCAGCCTAGGTTACAAAGTGAGCTCAAGGCCAGCCTGAACTGCATAACGAGACCCTGTCTCAAAAAGACAAAAAAAAAAAAAAAAAGAAAAAAAGGGCCAGGGATATAGCTCAGTGGCATAAGTGCCTGCCTGGCAAGCATAAGGTCCTGAGTTTGATTCCTGGTACCAAAAAATAATAATAACAATAATTCTATGGCAAAATCAGCTAATTTTCTACTTGAAAATACTAAACCACAGAATACAGGATACTTCACAGAATAATAAAGCCATCTGAAGATCTTCACTTAAAGGAAAATATAGAACACCAACCCATGGATCAACCCCAGGAGCTTATGCATTTCAGGCAAGCTCTCTACCACTAAGCTACATCACCAGCCCTATTTTTTTAAAAAATCTTTATCTTAAAAGAGAAATATCTGTTCATAAGGGAAATGAAAAAGTATCACCTGTTTTATATGAAATCTAAAATCAATCTTCAGAAATAAATGCCCTGCAAATCACTTGCGTATTTTAATGCACCTAATACTATGACAGTCATAAGATACTACTCCCTCAAATTACACCATCATAACGGTCATTTAGATGAGTGATCTTCTAAATAAAATTTTTATCTTTTTGACCATGTATTCTGTTAATGCTGAAGAATATTGTTGCACAGCATCATTATTACAGGAATATCACTTTTCAATTAAAAAGACTGCAGGATTTTAAAGTTAATCACTGTGGGTGTTCACTGTTTATACAACTGACAAATCAAAGATGCAGGCACCAATAAACAAAGAGAATTGTTTTTTCTGTATTCATCTTCGATTCACTAAATCTCTGAATGATTTCTGTTATGCTTCTTACTTGAGCAAAATTAATACATGAGCACTAATGCATGAGAAGGGCAAGCCATTTGCATGAAAGCAAGTTCCAGAGCTACTTAGTACTGTCAGAAGCTCATCCCATAGCGCACCAGCTATACCAGTTCCTCCATTTGTAACATACTGCAACTAACTCCAACAGTGATCATTTTGAATAATCAATAAGGGCTTAAATTACGATATATTTTTTAAAGCACAGAAGTACATACTATGAAAAGAATCTCAGCAAGATACAAAATAGAAGCCAGGCATGGTAGTGCATGCCTGTAATCCTAGCACTCATGAGGCTGAGGCAGGAGGAACACCATGAGTTCAAGGCCAGCCTGGACCACACAGCAAGACCCTGTTCCAATAAAAAAAAAAAAAAAAAAAATTTAGGGTTTTGGT